TCAACATATTATCATATCGCATCATTTAACAATTTCTGCTAAGGTTTTGTGCCCTCTTATAACAATACACAAAATTATCTTTTATGCTTTGATGATCAAAGCCATAGTGCAATGTGCTTCGTAGAACAATGTGCTTCATAGTGGAAGGCATGGCAAGAGAAAAGTCCCAAGTTCAAAGATATTGTTGTCATTAGGATATATAAAAAGATTTCTTCTTTCTTATCATCAACTTACATTACACTTTGATGATTTTAAACCATGGTAATTCTTTAAATGTACTTATAATATTAATACTTGTTTGTTGTAAAGTAAACTTCCTACACAATAAACAGTTTATTCAATTAAGACTAAAGAATCCAACAATTTCTTAAATTTTATTCTGTTTAGTTTTGAACTGAGCAATTTTGTTGGCAAAATTAATCAGTATGAAGCCTACAGAAGTTCTCCATAAGGAAAAAGCTAATAAACAAAAGTGTATTTTTTTTTTTATTAAGAAGACGGTTGCCATTTTTTTGCTATTTAAGTTTAGATTAAGTTGGTAAACTTCTGTTTAAGTATTTGTAATGTGATTGAAGTATTAATCTGAGTTTATCATATCAGACAAGTTGATACCAATAAAAATTTGATAATGATCAACTTGAAATCATGAACTGAGCTATTTGAACCAAATGTCAGTTGTCATTGATTATTATAATTATGACGTTTAACTGAAAGCAAAGGCTATTGCTTCTATCATAAGTGAGACTATATATGATGATTAATTCACTTGTTTCTCAGGATTCTATTTTTGTTGTTCATGTTAATTTTAAAGAACTAAAGATGTTTTACTTAAAAGATATTGTATAGTTCTATTCATTTGTATAATATTAAGTTCTATGATAGTGGACAATGCATCACCTTATAATTTATAATAATAATAAATAATTATTATTGTAATGAATATTTTTCTTAATGGATACTGGATAATGGAATTTTCTGAAAAATAATTAAATAAATTAGAACTATAAAGCATTAACCAAATGCCTTCACAATTAAACTATGTAACAGTGCTTGGTATGGAGAGAATTACAAACAATAGATACTACTTTAAATACAGATGCCAAGTGGTGTTGTAGGATCAATGTGATGCCAAGAAATAACAAAATCAAATGACTGTATTTGAAAAGTAAAACTAGCAAAAATTGATCATTTAATTTCTAAAGTATTTTTCAGAATCTTTTAGTTACAAATACTTATAAAATAATTAATATTAACACTATAATTTTTGCTATAATAATGCTGTAAAGTGAATATTGCTTTAAAGCAAATTACGACCTTCTTTTTTTACTCAACAATGTATATAAAGCCTGAAATCATATTTTTAGTTTTTTATTAAATGCACAATTACTGCCAAACACTTATCAGACTAAATTGGGTTATATTACTGCTACTGATGATTATTAAATACCAAGAAATTTGGAACTAGAGGTAGGTGTTAGGTGCCATCTCTTATTAAATTTAATAAAAATATAAGAATTTTGAACTTGACCCAAGAAAATGGCATTGATGTTTATAAAAATATAAGTATATATATCTATGTATTGTATTTATGGATCTATAAAAATAAGTTTTAAAAAAAATTGTATTATTGTTATTTGTATTTGTAGGAGGAAAATTGACCAAATTGCATCACTTTTATTCAGTTAGAGTAGATGTTAATACTGAACAAACAATGATGAAATTGCAGGAGGAAGTCATGAAGAGAACTCATAATAGACAATATACAATAATATGATATCCCCAAACTTATTCTTTTCATTTATATATTCATATCAAATATTTTTTGAAGGAAATAAAACTAGATTAATATCTAATTAATGAAATGTATCTAATAATAATATGTGTTATATTTTATTTTATTGGAAATTGTCTTCAACTTCATTGAATAAATTAATGTGAATGTTCATTTACTGTTTCCTGCACTTAAAATAGTGTTTTGAGAAATGGGTTATAAGAAAATTATACATTATTGGAGTGAATTTTTTAATTATTTAAAATAATTCACTCAGGTAAATCTTAATTTTCTTGTAATTTAAAGATTTGAATGGAGTTTTAGAGATTTCTGAAACAAATTGTCTCTATCAAGTGATATATTTTAATTAAAAGCTATCTAAATACCATTTTTTATATTTAAAAAAAATGCTTAAAGACTCATTCACTTTATGTCTACATGATATTTTATATTCTGACCTTTATAAACTTTAAAATATCAAAGGATAAGAATTACATTCACCTCTGAAATATTGAAATCTGTTTGAACTTTGTCAATAACCAAAATATTTAATGACTCTAAGATAAGATAGCATTGCTGTTTATATGCAGGTAATCTTGATCATAATCTTATCAGAAATTTCGTAACATAGATATTTAGATGGTTTTTTCCTGGCTACATATTATAAATAAGTGGTGTTTAAAACTTATTTTCATAAAAAAAAATCTATCATCTTTTGGTAAACTTTAAACTTTAATAACTATCTGCTAAATGGTATATAAATAAAAGATAACTGGATAGTTGCTATTCTAAGACATAAATATATAAATTATTCATAAGTTAAATTGATTTTTATTCTTTAAAATTATTTAATTGGTTTACAGGTTGTCATTCTTAATTGTAATTGCTATATTTTCTTATTAAATTTGCTCATTTTTTGGTTGAATTGTGTTAATTATATTAAATTCTGTTAATAATTGCTTTATACAGTGAATTATTATTTCTGTATTTTCTATTATAAATGGAAATAGGGTAAAATACAAAAGTAAATACTACTTTAAGAGAGCTTCTCCCCTCTTTTTGTCCTATGGGCACTAAGAGGGCCTTTTTTGCTGGCTCCAAAATAGCATGCGAGGGACAGGGCTTAAGATACATAGGACAGACTGCCTATTAAAATTTTTTGGGGTTTTCTACCCAAACTGAATATCAGGTCCTCCAGAACAGCTGGCTGATATCTTTATCCATTTTGCCAGTGTAAGATATTTAACATTTTAAGTTCCTCAGTATAATGCTAGAGATCAGAAGTTAAGTAGGTTTATTTTAATGTTTGACGAAGTTAATTCTATGACAATTTCCTTGAAAATGGCTTGTTAAGATGATTCATGCCTTAGCAAATATTTGTTTTTGATTTAATGATAAGCTCTCTTTAGCTTTCAATGCTGTTATTAGAAAATTGTTTTCAACATCAGTGTATTATAAAGTCAATATTCACAATATTAATGGAGATGCTCTAGCTGTGATTGTTGATCAGAAATTAAAGAATGAAGTCTAAATGAAAAATTGGAGACTTTGTGTCACAAAACTCCAATATTGTTGTTTCAGAATTTTTCATAGATCCTGAATTGTTCTTGAATTTCCAATACTGATACCAGGAAGTCACATCAAAATGACTATCTGCCGATTTAAATTAGCATCTGTTTTTTTTTTTTACTTAAAAACTACAAAAAATACAAAATTACATATGTAATTTAATTTTTCAACCACAGCCATAGCACATTTTAATTCTGTATAACTAAATTATCCATTATGTTTTACGTACAGTAGATTAAACTGTATAATTTTATGATAAAGTTATCATTGCTCTTTCGATATTTTTTTTTTTTTTTAAATGTTGCATCATTCTTATCATATCTCTTTAAAGGAATCAAGAGACAACTTGTTTTAAATTTATAATAATTAACTTTGATTTATAAATATATAAATACAAATAAATCAAAGTAAATTATTGCAATTTCAGCAACTTAATTGTCATATTTTAATTAATTGCATTCAATCGAATTCTAGTTTTTTTCAGTTTGACATTGGGGAAAAAGTTGTAAATGGATTGATAAAATTTGAATGAGACCGACGCAAGGAATTATAATAAAGTTTATCTCGATAATAATCAAAGAAACCTAATTTGTCTTCTAAAGAGATTTGTTCCAATAGAGTATAAAAGAAAAGTTCATTCCCTTTTATAACCTATACATGTCATATTTATTATTAATTAGGCGAGACGAAAATTACAATTTGGATTTTTTTTTTAATTATAATTGAAACAGTTTCAGTCGACGTAACTAAATATAGTCTAGAAGTTTTTATATTTAAATGTAATTTTCTTACTTGATAAATGTATTTTTTATTTTCTAAATCTGATTACTTTAATGATAAATCAAAGATTAATAGTGTTTTTCTTTTATAAATAAGGAACATTACATATTAAGTCACGTTTACTTCATTCTGTTTACAGCTTTTGGAGTTGGCCACCTGGCTTTAAATCAGTTGTCTAAATATGAGTTGTGAATTCCTGTCTATATTTAGCATACTTCTATCCTCACTTGAGCAATAAACATTAAGAATAAAAAAAAATCTCATAGTAAATTCTCTTTGAAAATGTTTCATGTAGAAGCGCATTCCCACTGCACTTAAAAAAAAAAAAAAACTTTTAAGTTGATTAAATCTCGTTCTGGGAATGATGATAATTTATTTAGGTTAATTTTTAAATGAGTTTTTTACCGATATCTTCCTATTTCGATTGTCCCAGTTTTAATCCGGATGAGTAAAAAGTTTTCTCTTTTGTTTTAATAAGGATTTGAAAGCTCGGAAGCTTGCCAAACAAATATATTTGTTTCTTATTTTATTCTTCTGACACAATCAACCTAGTAGAATTTTGACCCTCTCGATCTCTCGATTGTCTCGGCTGCAACTCTGTGCTGTTGTTCTTTACAATGATAATCCAGTTTTACGTACTTGATTAAAAATTTTCCTCGGTTATTGACCATACGAAATAATTGTTTCGATCTCGCGTCAAAATTTTTCTCTCAAAATTTACCGATAGTAACTCAGAAGTCATAATCATATATTTTCTACAATAGAATAAATTCTTTATACCGAAGAGAAGGTAAATTGTTTGTATGGCCTGAATTTAATTTTTATAAATCAAATAAAATTATTTTGTTGTTTGTATAATCCAATGCAATTTTTATTTTAGGAAGTCGCTGTTAAGTTAGAATCGACAAGAGCAAGGCATCCTCAACTTCTGTATGAAAGTAAATTGTATAAATTTTTACTAGGTGGAGTAGGAATACCTTATATAAGGTAAGTGCGATTTCAAAATTTATTGATAGGTGTTAATTTGTCAACGTTATCGTTTAAATTTCCGACATTTTCCTTTCGGTAATATCTACAAACTGAATGCAGACATCATAAATTCCATCGGATCTCCAGCTTTTTACATTTGGAGAAAGGTCATACTGGTATATTTTTAAGAAGCACAGACAGTAGCACATTATTTAATCCTCTTTGCTGAAGCAATGATAAGGATCAACTTAACAAAGAGGCTTTAGAAATTCTTTAAGAAAGTTTTTAAAATTGTTACACGATGAAACTTTTATATCAGTAACAAAGTTTTTTATGATTTCTTTAGTATTTGACAATGATGTATTTATAGTGATACAGTTATTGTTAAAATATAGATTAATTCAAATGTAAAAATGAAAATATACCAATTTTTATTTAAAAATTTTGAATGAATTCCTGATTTAGTAAATGAGTATTCTATCAGTTCAACTGAATACAAATGGTCTCATAAACAAAGTTGATCAAAGAATATACAATTTGTATATGAATGATCTCATTCAAATATTAAATTTCAGATTACACTTTAATATTTCGAATATGAGAAAATAAAATATTCAAAATGAATATCAAGAAGTGACTCCTCGATGATAGTATTAGCATTAACCAACATATTAAGTAGTCTTATGAACCAAGAAGCTTCTTCAGATACTTTTATTTTACAAATTTGAACAGAATTTTTGCATATTCTATATACAACAGAATATTTTATATCAATTTACAATCAGATCATTTGAATTTGAAAACATTAATGACAAATAAATAAGACGTTTTAATGCGTTAAAGCTAAAAGTATTCTTGATCATTACTCACATTTAATTTATTAAAACCACATTTAAATGTGTGTTTGATGAGATAAGTGACCAAGATTTATTTAGCCTAGGGCCTTCAAGATCCATAATGCACCGCTACCTACATGCAGAATGCGTTATAGATTTTATTGCTCAAAACAACAATGTTCTTTGTATTTTCTTATGTTTACTTTTGTTTAAAATGTAAATTTTGCATTCAGTTCTACATATAATTGTGTTGTGAATGTGTCGGATAAAATTTATACTGTGTGAAAATTAGAAATTGTTCTAAGTGTATAACGTGAAACATTTCTGTAAAATAATTATAAAAGTATTAGATAATAAGTAATGCCAGCATCATACAACATTACTTATATAACTGCTCAATTTTTCTAGACAGGTGTAAAAATTCTATCTTAAATTTAAAAATTTGGACTGTTGTTTTAAATTTAAAAAAAAAAAAAAGAACAGGAAAAAGTATACCTGTGGTTCGAGTATTATTTAATGAAACAAACAACAGAAGAAAACAAGTTTTTTTGCCTCGAAATGTAACATCAGTAGGACAAGTTCAACTTCGGCTTGCACAGATCACTGCCTAGGGCTTTGCTAATGTATAAGTAAAAGAATATAATGTCAAAAATCTGTTATATGCTTATGACCAATAATTTTATCTTGTGTTTTTTATTTTACGAAACTCATAAAATTAAAAAAAAAACCAGTTTATAGTTTCTAGTTACACATCAAATATTCTCCCACCTTCTGGGCAATTATAAATGTAGGAGATTATCAATTACTCGACGAACAATCAAACAGATTTTAAACGTTAAATTTTTTAATTTATCATTGCTCCTTTCATTGGCGTTAAAGAGAAAAGACCAAAATACTTGCAAAACTTTTGTAAACTACTTTAAAATTTTTTTTGACCGTACAAGTTTAAAAGATCATTTCTCTCAAAGATAAATTATTTTTTCGTAACCTTTTACCATAATTAGATTGAATAATTGTTGTTTCTACTGTTTTGGACCGTAGAAAGAAGATTAATAGCTTTTCAAGTGGTCTGAGGTCCACCCGTCCCTACAGGTTCTTAACACGGGTCGGAGAGTTTAAGCTCTTATTCCAAAGGAATCTACTACTGTGTCTATAGACTTAACATTGGTGCTAAAAGTGTATATGCTCACCACTTAAAGGAGATTATATATTTATTATAGAGGAAAATTTAATGAAAATGTATTTATAAAGTACAAAAACAAGATCTACTCAAACTTTTAGGAAGCTAGGAAGTAAATAAATACGATAAATACAAGAATGTGGTTGCTTCAAGTGCTGGTTTTTTTTTTTTTTTTGTGGATGCAGCTATAAATAAACACTGAAGCTAACTTGTTGACTGATTGTTTAGTTCGTTTATTTAAATATTAGGCTATAAAATCTAGCTAATGAATTGTTTTTCTTCTAACATAGCAATTTTTTAAATGAATTTTTACATACGATAGTTGGGGAAAAGAATATTTGCTATTAAAGTTTGTTTGAAGTATAAATTACTCGTTAAGTATCTTGTAAAAGCATTTTTGTAACAGTTTTCTTTAAAGTGCTCGGGGTGATTTATGAGAATCAATAGGAAATTAACTGCCAATGACGACTAGCAAGTTGCTTATTTTAGTTTATTTATTTTAACAAATAAAAAAACGTGGCCTAATCCAATTTGACTACAGGTTCTTTTTTCTATTATATAAATTTCTAAGATAATATAGAAATGTATACTTAATTATAGATATATTTTGAAGTTTAATTCTTTTTATAATTGAAAGGTTGTTTACTTTTCAAATTATCTTAATTTTAAGTAACTCTTATATAATATAATTTTAATATTTTTGTACACAAGAAGTATTTATCAGTTTATAAATATAAAATATTCTTTATAATTTGTCCTCACATCTATTTTTTATGGATGTAAGTTTAAAAAAACTCATAAAGCAAATTTCCTTTTTAATTAAAATTAATATAAAGAAATGCTTCGGTGATTATCACATGAGAATTCGTTGCCCTTTTTTAAGCCGTACAAGTTTTTATTTCACTCCAAGTCTTTTTTAAACCATAAATTTATTATTAATTTACCTCACATTAATATTCTTTTAACTTACAAGAACTTTCACTGTATATAAAAAAAATGTTGCAAGCTGCTCAATGGTTTCATCTGTGCGGTACATTTAGTACAACTTGACTTCAAGTTCGTATCAGAATGATAAATTTTTAAGCGATGAGTTGCCGCAATTCTTGCCAAAATAGCTGGTAAATTGCAGATCCTGCATAAGTATGTCATTGTAATTTAACATTTCACTTATCCATTCAAAATTGCATATGTTTTTTCTCCTATAGGATCACCATTACTTACTTAGAGAGTATAGAGGTGATTCAAATTAACAGACTTATCTTTAGTTTAAAAAAAACTAAGCTCTTCCAGATCTTTTTAATAAATCACATTAAAACCTTAAGTGATAAAAACGGCTCATCTCGATCCACGAAGATAACCACCAAAGCTTTATTCTGGAAAGAGCCAGGCAATAAACTCGAGGCACCTTTGATGTATATAAGTCTCTCCCCATCCTTGTTCTCCACATTTTGGTTTATGTGTCATAAACTGGCACTTCCCTACTTTTAAGGAAAAACTGTGTTGTTAACCAAAGGATAGCTATCAGCAAGGTCAAAACTTAAAAGCGATTTTAAGACTAGAAAAAAAAAAAAAAGAATTTCTTCAGATTTTTACACCTTTTTTTCTCTATAGGTTATTCAACTTTTCCTGTTTAAACCAGAATATATGTCCATCCAACATCAACATTTGTGTGGGAAGACGTTAAGATATTCCACCTCCAGGGCAAGTCCAGTCTGGGCAACTTTCTCTCACTCCCACCTTTTGTCTGTGCGTGGGAAAATCCCCTGTTGTGTCTGTACGGCTAATGAACAGTATTAGAAATATCAATTTTGTGGGCGAGAACCACACAGACGAAAAAAAAAAAGAGTAGAAAAATTGCTACTAGATAAACCTCTAATAATTCCTTCCACAGATAATATTGTTTAAATTAAAGGATTAATTCGGTCAAGGGCTACAGAGGGCTCGAATTTGGTCCGAGGTCCTCCCCTATTTTACTCGAAATCTAGATTTTGATGTCTTCTATTTTAGATACTCCAATTTCTTCTTGGCTAATTTCTAAGAATTCGGGAGCGGGTAACTCTTCTTAAAATATTATCCCCCGTCCCTTGTCTTACGTCATAGTAGAATTATAGAAATTAGAAAACTGTTTCCTCCATCTGTTTAAGCTGGAAACTTAAAACATTTGATCAAAAACAGCTGCGCGACTCGTTAAACTCTGCCGCTTTTATTTTTAAATGTTTCATTTCTCTGCCAGATTTTTTTTTCTTTTTAATTTGTAACTTAGAAAAAAATATACAGAGAGAGAGAGAGAGAGAGATGTGACACAAATTTAAAGGAGGCGTTAATCTGGTCTCCTGTCTCCACCCTTGACACACATACTCGTCCCCAAAGCACCGCTTGTCATTTGGTGGGAGAAAAACTACTTGTTAAAGTCAAAGGTCGAAACGTATCAGGGTTCATCGCCTGTATCTTAATCCGTCTTACTAGTGGACAGTAAAATAATCCATTTTTTAATGGTTTATTTTACATTTTTCTTAATATATTTGAAATTTCACCTAATGTTTTGGTGTAGAAATAAACGGGTATCAACTGGATTTGTAATCTAGGTCGGTTGTTAGTGGATAAAAACTAGAATGACCCCCGTTAATGACACTATATATATATTTATTATTATTATTATTATTATTATTATTATTAACCATTTTCGAACGTAGTTGTTGTGTTCTGCATACCCTCCCCGATGTAGGTTTGTAGTTAGGGGAGGGTGAGCTCAATTTTTGCCCTTGGCCTCCTAAAATCTTTAACTACTGATCGATTTTGTATGTGTGTTTGTTGCAGTCTCGGATCACTGCCAACACTATTGCGTCAATCACATTTTGTTGACACCGAACTTTGCCTTTGAAAATAGGCGATTTCTTTCTTTGGTACAGCAGATTTACCAAGCAATTTAGATTTTTATCAACCTCCTCTCGTTTATCCTTCCAGATAAAAGTTTGATGACCACTTAATAAAAATAAAAGAAT